CTTTCCAATTCCCAGACTTCAAAGAGGAACCTCACTATACCTCCAAATTTCCAGTTTCCCATATCTATCTAGCATTTTGGCCACTATGGAAATTCTCAAAACATTTAATGAATGGAAGCCATCATAAATTCTCAGCATCCAATGAAATATAAACCTGCTCCAATTACAGTTGTTTCTTGATAACTATTAGACGTGGACATTTGTACTTTAATCCCCTGATCTAATTCCTTTTTCTGTAAGCAGCTCCTACAGTTTCTCGAGTCAATGCAGGCTGGGGGCACTACTCATACAGCTCCCATTCAGCTGATCTACTTTGCAAAGTTCCTGACTGAGGCAGAGCATGAAGCCAAATACCACATGGTGTGCACCTTGTTCTGCTTCAGGCGGAATAAAGAAAGACAATCTGAAGCACTAGAAAACAGATTGGTTATATAAGAGCTGCGTGAGGATGTGCCAGAGAAACAAAAGAAACCAAACATAGAAACCAAACATACAAACCTTAGCTAATACAAGTTTTGTTCCATCTTGGAAGGGGAAAGTCATGGTATGCAGTAAGATGGAAGATAGGCAAAGCAAGGGTGGAGTTTTATTTAGTTTCAAAACAAGAGAAAGAGGGTAACCTTAACTCCAATCACAATTTTTAAAGCAACAAAAACATATTTTGGGGGTTACCCACGTCTGAGCTTTGACAGTCTCTGCTTAAAGGAGGCCCAGCCTTGAAAAGATAGGGATGTTTCAGGTCAGGACTGAAAGGATTGCCTGAGCGCATAGGAATGGCCCTGGTTGCTGTGGGTCAGGACGGAAGTGCATTGGCAGAGCTGAGTGGGGAAGGAGAACACAAAACTTCAACAGGAGTGGGACTGCAGCCAGGACTGAAGGACTTTAGTTGATCTGTGCAGAGGAAAGATGCACAATTCCTACCTGCTCTATGCCTGGCTCTGCCCTGCGCTGTCCCCTCATTTTCATAAGCACCCATTCCAAGTCTGCAAGGGGTGATCTGGTCTCTTATCTTTCAAAGCTCCTATTTGGGACTGGTCTGCATGCTATGGGAATCTTTTAAAGAGACTACACGCCTTGCTAACCCCAATATGAACAATGTTCACCTTGTTCCCATATCCTGATGGGCTCACCCTATAAGAATTGTCTCTATAGTCCACACCATAGCAGGGGAACGTGGCTGGATTTATACAAGCAACAGATGATGGATTTGTACAGAAACCATGAAAAATCCTCCAATGTCTACTCTTCTGCTAAGAAGTGCACAGCTGCACCTGGTCTGGAATTACCTTTGAGAATCACCTCCACTAAAGAGATTTAAGAATTGCAACAACAACCTTCCCAGAACAGATAGCAACCACTCACATTTACAGTAACCTCAGGTAGCTACAGTTATTGAAATGTACTATTTTTCCTTTTCCCTACTTTGACCCCCCCAGTCGGCCCAGGGCTGGCTAAAATGTAGCCTGTGGTCAAATGTAGCTACCAGAGCTCTACAAATCAAACAGGTGTGACCAACAAATGGCCTACTCTTTTAGAACCAGAAGGGGAATTGCATGTTGGGACCTGTAGTGTTTTCAGGCTACCCATGCATATTACAGATGAGGACAGCTGCAATCAGCTATATGTTATCCAAATTAGCCCACAGGCTCTCAGCCAACTGCCAATGCCCTTGGCTGCCTCTGTTCTAGTGGAAGCATGGAAGGCTCTGAGGATGCACAACCTCCTGCATTGTGTCTATACTTTCAGCTTGAGCATGAGTAAAGAATTCTGTTCTGTTTTGTCTTGGACCTGATTCCTATTATACTGGATTTCTTGGTTTTCACAGAACAACTGTAATTGTAGACCTGGATACATTTTCAAGCAGTGCACCGGATGGAAGCTTTCTCTCCTTCAGTCAGTTCCTTCAGTCAGTTTGATCTCTGTCCTTGCAAACTCTGCTGCTGATAGTGATGATAAGCTGAATTGCATGTGAGCTTCTTTGTTATTTCTGCAAAGAGTATTTTCTCCTGGAGTGTTAGCAAAAACATATCAGAGAAGCATGAAGACTGAGTTCTCAAAACCTGCAATGACAGACTCTGGAGTGCTGGGGGAAAGTGCCACCTTCATTGACAGTATGGCATTTAAAGGCCTGTGTTCACTGAACAGGGTCAGCAACCGCAATGCAAGAGAGGTATATTATAATGGTGTTAACACTGTACTGTGAATCTGAATTATAATGCCCACATTATCATTAAGGAACTCCAAATGGTGCACTAGGGAGGAAAGTAGAATATTATATGGTAGAAAAGTCTCTGTTCATATAACTTTTACTTGAAAATCGTAGAATACTAGGACTGGAAGGGACCTTGAGAGGTCATCGAGTCCAGTCCCCTGCCCTCATGGCAGGACCCAGTACTGTCTAGACCATCCCTGATAGACATTTATCTAACCTTCTCTTAAATATCTCCAGAGATTAAGATTCCACAGAATTTATTCCAGTGTTTAACCACCCTGACAGGAAGTTTTTCCTAATGTCCAACCTAAACCTCCCTTGCTGCAGTTTAAGCCCATTGCTTCTTGTTCTATCCTCAGGTTACTGTCAGGTTACAAAACTTGTACCCTAGGATTCAGCAAGAGCTGGAATATGAACCCCAGAAGAGAAGAGTCTACAAGAAAAACCCAGACAGAACCTGAATTACAGCACAATATTGCTGCAATCATATTAGGATAATATTAATATCTTTCTTTAGAAGAATCTAGGAACCAAGCTTTGTAAACATGCAACCATGAAGCTCAATGGAAAATGGATGTAGGAGAGAACTATGTAAGAGAAATAGATACATTAGTAAAAACCTGAGACAGATGGGCAAATAACGCAGTGCAGCCAACACCAGGCCATTTAAGATGCTCTGAGGTCCAGCCTTA